CATCTAAGCTCTTTGTTACCTGGTCATAGAAAGAGACCAGGTTAGTCAGGGAGGATTGGCCTGGCACGAACCCGTGTTGGTTTCCCCTCAACATCAGTTCTCCTGCAGGGCTCTCTCAAATGTGGCCCTTGATTTTTTTTCAAAGACCTTCCCGAGAATAGAAGTGAGGCTGACTGGCCTGTAGTCGCCAGGCTCTTCCTTCCTCCCCTTCTTGAAAATAAGGACCACATTGGCCCTTTTCCAGTCCTCAGGGACTTGGCCCGAGCACCAGGAGTCCTCAAACAGCCGTGCCAATGGCTCCGCAATGACACCAGCCAATTCCCTCAGCACCCGCGGATGAAGGTCATCCGGGCCCGCCGACTTGGACACATCTAAGCCCTCCAGGTAATCCTTAACTAGGTCTGAACTAACAGTCGGGGGACTCGCATCCTTCCTGGGCCTCTCTACGCTGTCACCCGAGAGCACCCCATTGTCAGCAGACAGGAACACGGAGGCAAAGAACTTGTTGAAGAGTTCTGCCTTCTCTCACGCGTCCGTCACCAACTGCCCTGCCCCGCCTCGTAGGGGTCCAATGTTACCCCGAGACTTCTTCTTGCTACCTATATACTTGAAAAAGGACTTTTTGTTATCCTTAATCCCAGAAGCTAATCTAAGCTCCAGTGCTGCTTTAGCCTTCCTTACCAAATCCCTACAAGCTCGGGTCAGGGAGGTGTACTCCTCCTTTGTCCCTGCCCCCTGCTTCCACTGCCAGTACGCTTTTTTCTTTGCCCTCAGGCCAGCCTGGATATCCACGCTCAGCCATGAAGGTTTCTTGGACCCTTTTCCCGCCTTCCTGCGCAGAGGAATTGCGTCCTGCTGCACCCCAAGGATAGCCTCCTTGAGGAAGGACCACCTTTCCTGGACCCCCATACTAGCTACCCCCTGGGCTCCGAGTGCCTCCCTGACTACTGCCCTGAGCACATCGAAGCTGGCTTTCCTAAAGTCAAGCATTTGTGCTGTGCTAGTTACCCTCCCCACCTTTCTCTGAATAGCAAACTGGATCATTTCATGATCACTGTCCCCTAGCCTCCCTTGTACTAGCACATCCCCCACCAGGTCGTCCCCAGAGGCTAACACCAGATCCAGTGTGGCATTTTCCCTAGTGGGGATGAGCACCTCCTGCACGAGGTGTAGGTCCTGTAGGCATGTCTGGAACCTTCGTGAGTGGCTAGACCTGGCCGACTGCTCCTCCCAGTTGATGTTGGGGTAATTCATATCACCCATGACCACAACATCCTTTGCAGGCATGGCCTCCCCAAGCTGCCTGGAAAATTCCAGATCCAGCTCTTCCTCCTGATGTGGTGGCCTGTAGTAACCCCCTACCACCAGATCCCTCTCCCCCCACCCTCCTTGAAGTTTGACCCACAGGGTCTCTGTTAAGCCTTCCTCTGGTCCCATTCGGAAGGTAGAACTGGTATACTGTTCCCTAACAGAGCGCAACCCCCCTACCTTTTTTCCCCTTCCTATCTGTTCTAAACAACCTATAGCCCTCTATGTCTAATGCCCAGTCAAATGTTTCATCCCATCATGTCTCCACTAGGCCAACCAGGTCGATTTTACTATTTGCAAGCAGGAGAGCAAACTCCTCTTGCTTGTTCCCCATGCTTCTTGCATTAGTGAAGAGACACCTTAATCCCCCCCCATGGGAGCCCTGGGCATTCCCCCGACCTGAGAGACAACTGGTCCCTTGGTATTTACCTGAGCTCTTACCTGGGCAGGTCCTACACCTGGTTGAATTTTCTTCCCTTTCCTGTGGATCCCCATCCCCTGAAGAACTTAGTTTAAAGCCTACTGGAGGAGGTCAGCTAGCCTGTTTTTAGAAAACAAAACAAAACAAAACTCTTACCTTTTGGGGGAGAGATGGAGACCATCACACCCTAGGACACCCTCTGATCTGAAGTGTGGGTCATGGTCCAGGAAGCCAAATCTGGCGTGACAACACCACCAACTCCAGAGCTGCCGGTTCACCTCACGGATGCAGGTGCTCCGCCACTGACGGTGTCCACTAACTGGGAGGAGTGACGAAAAGATCACCTGGGCCCCTGACTCTCTAAGCTTGGCCCCCAGAGCCCTGTAGTCATCCGTGATCTGGTCCGGACTACTCCAGGCCGCATCATTGGTTCCCGCATGGATGAGGACCATAGGATAGTAGTTGGAAGGCTGGATGAGGTCAGTGATCTTCCCTGTGATGTCCCCAATCTTGGCTCCTGGGAGACGGTACACTTCTCACATTGGGGTCTGCATGGTAGATAGGTCCCTCCGTTCCTCTGAGGAGGGAGTCCCCTTTGATGACCCGACATCTCTTCTTCTGGGTCACTGGATCATGCTCAGTTGGTACAAATGATGACTTGGTGGATGAGGGCGTGGCTTCCTCCCTTCCTCCTTCCTCATGCCCAATCTCCTCCAGCACTGCAAGGGCTGCATACCTGTTCCCCAGTTGTACTGGAGTGTCGGTTGACGCAGCTACACGCCGCCTGCAACGTCGCCTGGCCCTGGAGGTGACCATCCTCCATCATCTCCTGCAGACTCCTGGGTGGTGACAGCTTGAGGGGACGGGCCCTGCAGAGAGAGAAAGTACCTGTCAATCTCATCCTCCATGGCCCTGATCCCCTGCAGCCTGCTCACCTCCACCTGGAGCTCTCACCTGCCCCTCCAGTGCCGCAATCCGGGGACAGGTGAGAGAAGCCCCCGCCTCTGCATCCGTCCCCTGCCCCCCGGCACCCCAGCCAAGCCAGGCAGCCCCCACAGGCAGGTGGCCCCACCTGCTTGGAAGCCTCACTGGTCCCTGGGCCAGGAGGCAGCCGTGGGGCAGGAGCCCTGGCTGCACTCCATGTGACAACTGCCATGCTGTCACCCCCACTCACTTACCTGGAGGAGACTGCTGCTGCTGCCGCCGTTGGCTCTTCTGCTGCCTGCGGCCTCTCTCACGTGCCTCCCTGCGCAAACTCGGCACGCCCCTAAAGAGTCTGGTGTGGCTAAATAGGGTCAGGCGAGGAAGGAGTCCCCTGCCCAATTGCCAGCACCTAGCCCCGCTCACTCCCTTCCTCCAGCTTACCTTCTCATTGCCGCAGCTGTCCCTTAGCTGCCAATCGCTGCTGCTGCTGTCTCGAGGGTCAGGGGATACCGGGGGCACCTTGTGCTCCCTCCGGCGAGCCGACTGCATCCTCAATCTGTGCCCAGAATCCAGCCTTGGTATAGAGGTGCCACTGCAGCTGTCCAGAGTGTGAGACCTCTGTGGTCACTAACCACTAACTTTTCTCCAGGGTTTTAAGAGGCTGCCAGATCTCGTGAAGAGGTCTAACTATGGCTGTATATTCTGTGAGGGCAGGGTGAAGCTAGAAAAGCACTGTTCTTCGGTTTGATGCGATTTTGCTGCTGTTTGCTTTTTTTATCACTGCTGGGGGTGGGGGACAAAGGTGTGGGAGGAGCCTTTAGCAGAGTGGCCTAGGTAGAATTGGTTGCAGGGGAAAGATGGAAGTAAGTAGCTCTAAGAAGAGATTTGTAGAGATAGGCAAACAGGATGGAGTGTGTGCTGTGGAAGCAGGGTATAGTTTTGTCTTTGTGGGGAAACTCCTGTAGCTTATGACCACTTTTCAGTAGTGCTGTTCCTTCAGCAGTACCACCCTTCAACAGTTATAGGGCATAATGGGCAATGTCAGCACTTTCTCTGTGGAGAAGTAGGTTGTGTATGTGCTTGTGCATGATAAGGTGGCTGCTCATTGGATTGCTTCATGTAAAGGGGAACTTTTGATATGGGCTGCGCATCTTGGTTTCCAACTGATAGCGGCCAAACCATGTAGTCTTCTGTATACTTTTTTTGGTTTCAGCTGCAGCAGAAGTATGAGAAGAGGGAAGAGACCCAGGCTTACTTGCAGGATTTCAGAATAGTTGTTGTGTGCTGATTTCTCAATAAGAGTCTGGCAGGCTTTTTATAAAGTAATGAAGGTTCTGGGATACTTGTCTTAAGAGATGCTACCCAGGTTTTTAGCTTTGCTCTCCTCTTCCCTGACCACTACCTCCTTTTCTCCCTGTCCCCAGAAAAAGCTTTTCTGATCAAATAATATCAGATGTGCCCTTCCCTGTGCTGAACTCTTATTGTAGAAACAGTTAAGTCTCAGATCACAGGCACCAAGGAGAGAAAATCGGTTGCACCAAAATGGCTGAGTGGAGAGATGAAAACTGTTTGCCTTTCCTAGGAAACCTTGAGTGACACCCTGGGTCTTTGGATGTCTATAGCAAAACTTGCATGGAGCTTAGTCTTAAACTGTCTTGAGGCAGCGTGCACTGTCAATGCACTGTCTTGACTAGGACAGCAGATTTACTACTTCGCTGTTATCTTGGCTTTCAATGCTATTTCTCTTGTATTTACTCTGTATTGAGTGCTGCTTGCCCTTAATTGCACTGGCTGGTTGCTCAGGACTGTTAGAATTGGAAGGGTAGTGGTGGTTTTTGTGTCTGTTAAACTAGACTTCTTAGTGAGGACAATTCTCCTCCACTTTGCATGCCAGGCTTTATTAAATTGTCTGTTCTTAAAGTGCAGATCTTTGTGTAGCTGGCTGATATTGCTGTCATCAGATGACAAAGAATATTTCTGGCCCTTCTGAACTTCAACTCTTCAATCTACTTAACTATACAGTAAAAAAGACTTCTATTTTAATACAGGTCTTCTTGAGATGTCTCTGGGAAAGTTTAGAAATGTCCTGCTTAATGAGACTAACCCAGTGGAAGCTGTAATAAGGAACATTGCAAGCAACGTGACTCTCATTATTTTTCAAGCTCATGCCCAGCAAAAAGATGTCACAGTATCCTTTGATAAGGTGGGTTTGAAGTGCAGTGTCCTGTGTGCATGTTAACTGTCACCTCTCGTTAGGGGAGGAAGAGTAGCAATTAACTCTGGGACAAAGGGTGTTTTATCATTGCTGGAGAGAGCGGACCTTGAGCATTTGTGTGCATCTGCGTGCACACCAGTTTAGTCCTGAAAAGAAAATGGGAATCTTCCCTTGTCTAGTCTGTCTCTTGGCTGCTTCCTATTTCTTCCTTGTGATATAAAGCCACTTGCTGTTAGTGTTGATGAGTTTTTTGTCTTGTGTTCTCATGAAAATAATTGCAGTATCTCATTTGGCTGTGGTGTCCTTGGTTTCCTAGATGTTTGTATTTATAGTAGAAACAGACTCTTGGTTTTTGCAATTTGCCTTTCTTATAAGGTTCTTTTACAAGAGCAAAATGACAGTTGAATCTTTGCTGCTGTTACTGGATATATTATCAACTCTGGGGTTTGGCGGAATTAATTTCTGAAGCTTACATGGTCCCCAATTCTTCCACTTAGTTTATTATTTTAACTTCCAATGCAACAAGAATGTGCATTTATAGGGTGTGGCCCAGTGCTACTGGGTTGGATCATCTGAAATTCAGGTGCTCTGTTGCAATGAGGATGTAAGTGATTCCTGAAACAAAATGTACCTACAGTCTAGTTTCTATGTATTCCATTGCTTGGTGGTGGTTGTTGTTTTTTTAACCTAAACAAAATGGTGTTACTTTTCAATGTGAAAATAAAGCAGTTGCTGGCTTAAGAGCTGACTTCATTGTTTGCAGTATGCAGATCAGTAATATGTATAGCCCACATCTATGCAACTTCAAGAATGAGCTCCCTTTGCTCTGTCTTTGTGCTTATAGTACTGCCATGCTGACATGCATTCAACTTGCTCTTTTGATTTTTGTTAGTTTCCCTCTACAAATAACTCTGCAACTGGAGCAGACAGAGGGTTAATTTCCATCCTTCATCCTCAACAGAGCATATGTACGTGGTACCTACAGTCTCTTGAAGCTAACCAGGTGTTCAGCACAGCTGTTTCTATCCCTTATACAGCAAGAGGTACTGTTCTTAATGCATTCTCTTTATGGGGTAGCAACAGGAGTTGAGGTACAGATCATTCTTTAGAAGGCCATATATAGTGCATTCTGTTCTGGGTGTAATGAATATACACAGATTTGCAAAATGCCGGAAATCTTACCTTTGGGAACTCATTCTACAAGGGTTTCTGTGGTGTAGCAGTGATCACGTTCGCCTAACACGCGAAAGGTCCCCAGATCAAAGCCGGGCAGAAACAGACGCTTCATGGGGTGTGCGTTCTGCCTCTTTTCACAGTTAGGGCGGCTAGGAGCTGGAACCAACTTCCAAGGGAAGTGGTGCTGGCCCCTACCCTGGGGGTCTTTAAGAAGAGGCTGGATGCCTACCTGGCTGGACTCATTTGAGTCCCGTTTCTTGTTTTTGGGGTTTTTGTTGTTCTCCCGCCCTGGCGGGGGGTCGGGCTAGAAGATCTACTAGGTCCCTTCCGACCCTAAATCTATGAAACTATGATGTTCGTGCTTAACTGACTTGCTAAACTTCTGAGCGTGCAATCCACTTGATTGTGGAGCCTGCTGTACAGATCCTATCAATTTAAAGCTCTAGTCATGCAGACCGCTATGCTTGTGTCTAGTCCTCTTAACTTCAGTGTTCCCACTGCATGTTTTAGGATCTGAGTCTTGGACTTCACGTTCTTTGGAGACCTAAACATTAGGGTTGTAATAAGAGATGAATTTCAAAGCAGTAGTGAAAATGCTGCCTGGGGAAATGGGAAGAAGAGAGATGCTACAGCTCATAGTTCTCTTGTTTGTTTTTTAGACCCTATCCCTGGAGGTTGCAATCTTGAATTCAGCTTGGAAGTTGATCCTAATATTTATTTGGAGTATAATTTAGTTGACACTCGCATCAAGTTTGCTCCAGCTAACCTGGGATCTACCAGGTGTGTGTGGTGTCGGTACATAACAAATGGTCTTCCTCATACTGCATCTGGGCAAGGCTATAAATGCTTCATAAATTCTAATGGAAGGGCTGTGGGCTTGACTTCTAGCAACAATTTCTGACCTCAGTAAAAGAACTAAAGTATATGAGAGCAGGAAACAAAATACTTAGTGGAGTCCCAAATCTCTCTTCCTCCTATATGGAGAAAGGAAGTGAGGGGGTAAAATACTTGTAGCTCACCAGGATAAATGATTATTGGGATGATCAGTTTTTTTTTTCCTGTGGTAAACGGCTGTTATGTTCCAGAAATGGCTGTATTATAATATACATACAGCAACTCCTTACTTTATTACCATGAAAGTAGGGTACTTGTCTTCCTTAATATGCTTATCACCTGAAGTCCTAATCTTTCAAGTAATGGATTACTCTGGATAGCGGGTGGTAAAGATAAGGCCTGTTGAATTTGGTGCCTTTGTTAGAGCAGAAGCCTTCCCCAAATCTTTTCTAAAGCTGCATACACTAGGGTCAGAAAACTGAATGGACCCTACTTGAGTTAATCTCCTGTAGATTAAAATAAAAAGAATATAATGGCAGAATTGTTTCAGCTGTTGCAGTAACTTGGAAACATAGTATGAACATTGCTTCCAATGACTTGCAGGACTTGTTAGTCCTAAACAAGCTCCAGAGTAGTAACACACTCTTACTTGTCTTGAGAAATGCATAGTGAAATACAGTCCTTTCCTGATGTTACAAGTTGTCACTGTAATTTGGTGATAGATTGAAGTGCAAATTTTTCATCTAGAATTTCTCTCTAAAGAACCCCAAGTACCCCAAACTTTTAATGAAGTCCAGGCTGGGATCTAAATTTTGAAGTACCGGTTTTTCAGACCTGTTTCTTTCCATTGAATACCAGCTCCATATCTGGAGTCTTGAGGCACCTCTTTTCTGTACTCTGGGGGTGGACTGGTGCCTTTTAAAGTTGCTTCAAGAGCTACTCTAATTAGTGCCGCAGTGTCTCGTGTATCAGCATCCCCATGCTTCAAAATGGTGGTGGGGGTGCTTGAACTAAAGATCATTGAGCAAGCTTTAGTTCAAGTGCCCCCATTGCCATTTTGAAGTGCAGGGACGCTGATACATGAAACATGGGAGGCTGCTTTGACATGCTGGAATTGCAGTGCATCAGAGCAGCCTCTGTGCTTGTGTACAGGCACCTTTTGGTTTGTCTATAGTCAGTAGAATTTTTTTTTTTTAATTCCAGAGGTGAGAGTCCTCCTTCATGTGATTCTGGTACTGGACAGAATTCTAGATGGCGACTACACTATGATATCTATCAGTATTTCTTGCCAGAGAATGATCTTTCAGAAATAACACTCATGAGCCACCTACGGAAGATGTCAGACGTGAAGAGCATCAAAGCTAATGGCGTGAAAGTAAGTTTTGCCAAATGTTGTTGGCAAGTCAAACTATGGTTGCTCTGGCTCCAGATTCCTGCAGAGGGATAAATGGATGAGCAGAGTGATGTGCTGAAGCTACAGGCTCCTCTGCATTTGGATTCTTTTGCTGCTTGTCTGTATTCTGTGGTAGGTCCCAGGTCTTGGCTCCCTGGCTTTTAAATTGCCCCATGTGCAACTCAGCTGGCATTTAAAGCCTGCAGGGCTGTGAACTGGTATGGGGATAGCTTCCCCAGCCCTGTGCCTGTCCCTTGAGACTGTGCAATCCCTGCTCTCGCCACCCATCTGGGCAGTGGAGGTGGCCCTCCTTAAAGCCTCGGGACTGGGCTTGAGGGCTGTTTCCCTGAGGCTTTCTTCCTGATCTCCCATGGCTGCAAGGCTGCTTCCTGCCCTCCTCTGTGCCACCTGTCCATTGACTGGCTGGGGAGGCATGGGTGGAACTCTCCTGGGCTGGAATCATGCCAGGGCTCCAGCCCCAAACCTGCTGTACCTTTCCAGATTCCTATGGCAGGAATGGCCCTGGGGCTGCAGGAGGGTTCCTGCCACAAGAATGCTCCTCCTGCTTTCCTCCCACTTTGCTGCCACCCCCCAGTCAATCATTTGATTGGTGGGATAGGGGCCAGGGTCCCCACAGTTTTCCCTGACAACTTGTCTCTGGCCAGGCTGTTGGGGGAGCCCTGCTTTCCATCAGGTTGAATGTCTGTACATTTCTCTGGCAAGGACAATTTGGATCAGGAGCAGGGAAATCTGCCCCACGGGTACCCTATCTAGTGTCTTGTGGAAGAGCCAGATTTTCTATAGCAAGTGATCTCTTGAATGTCTGTGCAACTCTTTGCCTGGAGAAGGGTTTTTATCCAGACAAATGAAACATCTGTACATAGCCGTAGTCTTCCCTCTGCATTTTTAAGTACTATTGGAGTCTGTGCTCAACAGAACTATGGTAGGGTTTTATTTGACAGATTTGGCAAACATTCTTGCTCCGTGGCATGCAGTCAAGGGAGGAAATAGGAAGACCCCTTTGTAGGATAATGAAAGTAACCCTCAACTAATGGAAGCTTTTTTTTTGTTTTGTTTTGTTTATTTGTTTCAGATGATTACCTTAACAACTAATGACAAAACTGATGCTTACTTTTCCTCGCTTCCTGGACAAGGTGTCATCTACAACATCATTGTTTGGGATCCACTCTGGAACACCTCTGCAGCATATGTACCTGCTCATACATATGCTTGCAGCCTTGCTACCCCAGTGGATAACTGTTTTTCTCCCAGTAAGTCAAATAAGCTTGTACCAGTTCATATACACTCCCACTTTGGGAAAGTACCAAGATCTGAGCTAGGACTTCCATACATAACAACAGCCTTGCAGGATACCATAAGATATTTTAGTCCCTGCCCCTCAGGAATTCTTTGCTGATAAAGTGGAGGTGGTGACCTACTGTTCCTCAAAGATTGCACATGTGTGGCACAAGTGCACACATAGCACTCATTGTCTAGCTCTCAGTTTGACAACTTGTTCTTGTGGTCAACCTATGTTCTTAGTCTTGTTGACCATGTTACTGATGATGTACAACTGTGACACATGGGCCAAAAAGGAAAGAGAATCCAGCTTGTTCCTATAACTCTACTACCTGGCAGGGTGACCAGGAATAAAGGTATTCAATATTGCCAATCTGATTAAATGACTCCATGTAGGGAGTGAATCTCTTGAGTAAGAAGGTAGCGTCTTTACACAACTATTCCTCTGATCATAACTATTGACAAGGGAGGATGACAGCAGAAAAATGAGGCCTAATTCTTCAGTGCCTCAAGCAAACTTTGAGCTTAGTTGCTGTGTGAAGTGCATTGATTGTAAGGGGAAAGCATAGGTACTACTTAAATTCCAATTGTGTCTTGCATCTGTCTTACAAGGGCATCAGTTTTGCCCAAACAGAAATGCAGTGGAGAGCAGAGCCTATAGTTTTTTGTTAATCTTGGCACATGAATATACTTTTTTCCCCACATGCTATAACTTAAACAGCTGAGGTCATTCAGCCAAAGCATTCTGCAATCTGTGGGAGTAAGATGGTATGTCTAAGGCTTTTCATGACCATTAAGAGAACCTGCTAAACTAGCTTCCTTCCTGTAAATCATTAAACACAAGAATATAACACAAAAACATCTAGAAAGTTCCCTCAAACTATTCCAAGCTAATAAGGAAGCTTATAGAAAGCAGAATTTCCTTCTGTATAAAGAGCTTTTTGTCTCAGTAGAGCGGAGTTGTGGTGATATACTCGTTTAACACATGACAGGGGCAAGTCTCCTCCTGAATGGCTGTTTATGCTATAACTTTGTTATTGTAGTATGGTTCAGTGTGGCTGTGGCTTGCCATGCAGTCTAGTTTCCAAAACTGGAAGGCTATCTGGATGGTAAAAGCTATCAATACCTTGCTAGCATAAGAATTTGTATTAATTTTAAATGAAATGTAAACGTATACAGCTTAAAGCTAGCATTTCAGAGTTCCAATTCTGTTACTAATTCAATGGGTAGAAAAACCCACAGTCTGAGTTTTGGCACTGCTCAACTGCTATAAGAGCTGTGCTGATCAAAAGTATTGATAGCGTCTTGTGCATCTGAACAGTCAATACTTGGTATCAACAGTGAGTTCTTGGCTTGTTTGTGTAATCAAACAAGTTTAAAAGTAAAAAAAAAAAAAAATCATCTTACCTGTTCATGTTGTTTCCTTATAGCCAAACTCCCTACCAAAATATTCTTCACCATTCTTGCTGTCCTTGGCCTCTTCATTTGTTTCTTTGGACACAGGTTCTGGAAAACAGGTACTGTTTGGCTTGTGTGTGTTGAAGAGTCAAGATTTCATGTGTGTCAATTACATAATTCACAAGCCTGGTCCATCATGCTGTCTCTTAACTATGAATTGCTGCATACATCACAGCAAGGTCTCTATTCTAAATAACCATTCTACTGGGATGATCATTTATATGCACTAAAACTCTGGCCTTGAGTAATAACAGAGCAGGAAGTTGAAACTAGTGGGAGATGGACTAGGATACCTGTTGGAGACTAGCTGAAGTTTTTAGTGTTTTGTAGGAGTGAGTTCATTTGCCAGTGCCAGATACTTGAAAACCATTTTTTTTTTTTTTCCTTCCCCTTCCTATCCCTCTTCCCTCCACCCCCCCAGATCTCTGCACATTTGCTTAATGGGGATCCCAGTTAATAGGTTTTGGTTTCTTCAACTGTTCTTGAAGTAGGTATAGTGTAGAAGGCTGTATGAAAGCATGCTAAACTACTCTTTTTTTTTTTTATGTTTCTACTTCAGACTTGTTCTACATGGGCTTCATCTTCATGGGATTATTTTTCTTTGTATTAATTACAAGAGTGACTAACCTTGGTTATGATGGTGAGTAAAGACAAACTTGCAGTTTTTTGGGAGGGGTGAGGAGAAGAATATGATCAAGCTCTGAAAAGCCTATTGAAATCCATGGGGATTAGCAGGGTCTCCATTTTACAATGGGAAAAAGCGGTGTGGACTAGTTGTGTGTGTCTGTGCATGCATGCATGCATGCATCCATCCAGACTTGTTTGCCATCTCCTAGGAAACAAGCAAGGCCACTGAACTGAGTCTTAATGGCTATTGCCTAAGCAGTTCCAAAGAACCCAGAAATAACTGTCATTTCACAACCTGAAACCATATCTGTTACTGTTTAACTGCAGGACACCAGAAGCTTAAATTTGGATACCAATTTTAGAACTTCAGAAGGTAGTGGAAAAATTGCAACACTTCCCGTCTTCCCCCTCCTTTTAGTCACCAGGCCACCCCTTATTGTAGTGGATTGGGCCTCAGGATCTGGGGTTAATTCCTGGCTCTGGTTCAGACTTCCTTTTTCAGTCTGGCTGCATGTGGCCAGGCCATAGCATCTGAATTGCAAAAGAGCAATTTTAATCAAAAATCTTTTAATCAAGCTTTTCACATCACCTGTAAAATGAGGTCTATATTTTCTTTGTGTGTGCTTCTGATGAGCTTACTCTTTATGTATAGAATCTAGAATAGGGCAGCCTTGATGCAGGAGGTGGGAAACCTAAGTCAGTGGTTCTCAACCTCTTTAGTCTCGAGATACTGCCGTCCATAACTTCAGAATTTCATGGCATTCTAGTTGAGAATCATTGAACTAGAATCTAAATTCAGAAAAGACATATGGAGGGATGCATTGAGGCTAAAAAGAACCACTGGCCTAGCTGTTCCAGCTAACAGTGGCAAGATGGAACCTGCTGTGCCCAGCTCTCCACTTTCTGTCATCAGTTTGTACCTGTAGTGGTAAGTGGGGGGGCCCCCTTCTACTCAACTGATCCTGTGGGATCTCATAAGCTGGTGACCATTCATGTGGCCCCTGCCACTGGCCCTGGGAGCATGGGAAGTTTGGCGGCAACTAACTGGGATGCACAGCTTGGCTGTCACCCACTTGCATCAGAGCGGGCTGCTGGAAACATGGGGAAAGCTGACACAGTGACTGCCTGAGGGCAGCTGCAGTCTTCAGAGAAGCAGCCCTGGGAGCTTCTGGGGTAGCTGTAGTAGGCACACAGGGCTCCTTTAGGGAGGAGAATATTGGTCTCATGCGGGCCAGGTGATGCATCACCCCAGCATGTTGCTGGACTGTGGTTGAGAATTTTTGTTCTAGGTACTGTTGGCATACACAGTAGGGCTGTGCAAAGCGTCAGCAACTAATTTGATTCGGTGGCCAAATCTCCAAATCCAAATCAAATCAGGAGACTCTTTAATGTCTCCAAATCGAATCGGAAAGATTCACAGACACAGTTTTAAATGTTTTGTCTATGTACCTCTAGGTACCAGGCAACTCATGAATGGGCAGGTGGAGCATCCCATGAGAGCATGGCAGTAGACCCGGAAGTGGACCAGAAGCATTTCCGGGTCTGTCGGGGAGCTGCCCCATGCCTCCCCTCAGCTCGACGACTGGTGCCTCTTCTGGGTCTGGGGGGCACATGGGGTCCCCCCCATGGCCAATTGCCAAGCTGGGGAGACGTGAGGGGGCTCCCCAGTGCGCTTGGCAGCAGACCCAGAAGTGGACTGGAAGTACTTCGATCCGAATCAAATAGGACCTGTTTCACACACCCCTAATGCACAAGCTTTCTCAGCCTGATGCTTACCAAAGGCAGGAAGAAGAAACTGTGACAACAGAATCCAGGGCTGTTTACGCTTGGAGGAACAAAAATCAAATGCAAAAGCAGCACACGTCTATAGCCAAGTACTTGCATTTGACCGCTGCAAATATTAAGGCCTTAAATTTTATACACCGAAATCTACAATGATGTTGCAGTGCATGGAAACTTTGTAATGGCAGCCTTCTGAGTTGTAATGTCATCCAAAATAATGGATATTTGAAATCCTAGAGGCACTCTTCTTTTTCTCTTTTACAGCCTGCCTGATTCTGACTGCTGTAGCTGGAATTGTTGGAGGGCTTCTCCTGGTTGCTTATTGGTGGAGGTTTGGTTTTGTCCCACTCTGCATGGTGCTTGTTGGACTTATGCTGGGACTCCTCTTTTCATCGGTGATCTTCTTCACTCCACTAGGTATGCCCTCTGTTAATGTCTGAGTCTGCCAGAGACTGCAGTTGTAGTGAGCCAAGCAAAGTGGAAGGTTGGCTTTTCATATTTATCTGCTGATGCAGCTCAATTCTAGAGGAGGGTGCCACCTTCTGGCTAGTCTATGGAGAGTGTCTGTAGAACTGGGATGTAGGCATGTGAGCCTTCTCTCATCTTTAATGTTTGAAGGGCTGTGTTACATCTCTGCAGCTCTCCTGAAGTAAGGAGTCCTTGCAGTGCTGCTTAATAGTGTTCATAAGAGGGGAGAGGGGTGGAATCCCCTAGCCCTTCTAGTCTTCTCTATAAACATGTGGCAAAACTGCAAACAAGCCTGTATTATAGTTGGAGCTGTCCCTAGGCAGCTTGCTGTTTCAGCAACTGGGATGTCAGCTCTACCCCATGTGTGGATGAACACGCTACCTATTCTACATGCCCTATTCTTTCGCTCAAACTGTCTTGAGGCCAGTTGTAACAATGGAGAATCTGTCATACAGTAACAACGAGGGGAGTTTTGGCTGAAGATTCAGATACCTCTCTTTAATCCAGGATAGAATACCTTGATTTGAAACACAAATGCAGAACTTTGTTGATAGTCTTGTCCTCAAGGGAGTTGGATTCATGCTTCCAGCTGTACTGCTGTACTCCGAAGCGTCTAGTATGACTACGCTAACAGGTTTTTACTGTTGTTGCATCTCCCTAGTGAATCTGAAAGAAGATGTCACTAAAAGCATGTTTATAGTTGGATGACTGAACTGAAGTCCCTCTGGGTCAGCAGCATAAGCAATGCTTTGCTTAAACCTCCGGAGACTTAATTTAATCTTCAGCCTTACTCTGGCAGTAGAACTCAAGCAGCAGTTTCCCCTCTCTCTCCCCAGCTTTGGCCAGGGGGTTAATGCAAACTGAAGGAGGCATGTCTGCATACTATAGGCTGTGCATGTCACTTAAATGAAGTATGAACACTGATCTCTGTGCAGTCCTGTAACAAAACTGAGTGCTTTGCATGGGTGGAGAGATCTGCCTATTTGAATTCATTTTGAAGCAGAAACTCTGGGTCTATAAATCCAGTTAGGCATCAAGAGTCTCCTTCAAATCTCATAAAAGACTTTTCCTTATCCTAAATGAGAAGTTTTACATATAAACGTTTCTTCTCGCTGATTCTGTTGTGCAGACTTACATTACTTACAGCTTATTGCACTAAACACATTAGACTGGTTATGGGCTGTTTTAAGACGAGTCTCTAAGAGTATTAGTGCTGCATAGCACAGACGGGAAGGAATTTGGCATGTGAGTGCTACTGCCTGTAACTTCAGACGTAACTCAAGGGTCTTGGCTTGCCTTACTGAGGTTTTATAACACCAAGTGTGTTGGAATGAGATTTTCCTCTTCACGTTGTTGGGGCATTTAATTTGAAAATAGATGCGATTTCATTAGGCATGCTTGTGGCTGACAAGTAGAATGGTGTCTTCACAGGAGATTACAGGGTTTTTCGTGACGATGCTGTGTTTTGGGTGACCTTTTCTTGCATAGCCTTGATGATTCCAGTAGTCTTTGTTGGCTGTCCAAGAATTGTAAGTATTTGCACAACGCTTCCTACAATTAGGATGGATGCATGGCTGAGACCTTCAGCAAACTTCAGTAAACCATCATGCAACTTTGTACAGCTCTCCAAAGAGCAAGGCTGCTGTGGCATGCTAGCTATAGAGAAAAACTCTTCATTTATTGTATTGGGATCCCATTATTTTGGGTGCTGTAGAGGCATTTAGAAATTTTATGCTGAAGAACTTCAATACCTTGGACAAGACTTAATACATGGGGACCATTTGAGGGAGGCAGGAGGAGGTGGGCTGGAGAAAAGGGAGAAAGCAATAGCAATAGGAGGCTACAAGACTAGTGGTGCTTGCAGATTTCTTAAGTTGCATCTTTGTTTAAAATTTTATCATGAGGTTCCCTCCTATTATCTCCAAGGGAGAAATAATGCTCCTAATTGGAAAGTGCAGAATGATCTGATTTTTGTCTTTTGTAGTTGAACATACTGGCTTGTGGCATAGTAGGCTCTTACTCAGTGGTTTTAGCTATTGCTTGTTACCTGTACACGAGCCTTGCTTACATCACCCTGGACCTGCTCCGGAGAATTCTGAAGAATGACTTCAGCAGAGCTTATACTAATGTGCCCTTCCAAACAAATGGTAAGCAGTATTGCCATAAACCTGTAGGTCTGCTTGTGACTTTGCTTCAGAGAACTTACCGTTTCCTACCCTAACCCCTATTATATTGGAGCACCTAGTGAATATGTAGCCATGTTTCTTTGCCCCTAGCTATCTTATGAATAGACAAAGATCAGGTGACTCAGCAGTTTTGCATCTGCTCACTGTTCTATAAAAGCTAGAGTTCCAGATGTTGCTATGGGCTTGGGACCTTGTTTCTCTTTTCTTTTCTTAAAGAAGATTTGTTACCTTTTTAACTGCCTATAAAAAGTTGTTCCTAATCTGGGTTAATAAATCATGGGGAGTAAGGCCGCAAAAGCCAGAGTCTTAAATTGCATTTAAGAAAAAAGGACTGGAAGGGACCTTCTTTACCACTAAGCTTAGTGGGCTGCTTTTGTAGGCATCAAATCCATATGATGCCCTTCACAAACTGAAGTACAGTACTGCATATCAAGAGCTTTAGCCCTCTTTTTCCAAAATGATGCATAGAAATATTGTTCAGTGCACAAAAAGGTATTGAAATCTATCCAAGACATGAATTGGGGTGCCTTCTGCAGGGAGGTGGGGTGGTGAGACAGAGGAGAGGAATCCTGTCTTGCTGGTGCCATTGCAATGAAATTTAATGTCTTCCTTCTCCCTTCTAGATTTTATCATCCTGGCAGTCTGGGCAATGCTGGCACTTGGCGGAGTAACAGTGCAGCTTCGCCGAGAAAGAGGCGAGGTACCCTTCCCACCACACCCTTATCGGATCTGGAAGCGAGAAAGGGAGCGTAGGAGCACCAATATCCTGGATCCCAGCCACCACGTCCCTCCGCTGAGAGAGAGGATCCATAACAAACTATTGCAGATCAGGGAACTCTTCCGGAAAGAGCAAGCAGCTGGGGAAAGAACTCCACTACTTCTTTGACTGACTGACCCAACACTGGTGACATCAGCTAAAAAGGGCTCTAAGAATTTACTGGACTAAGGATGTTTGTGGACCAACATCCATCCAGCAGTGCTAGACTGAGTTCTTATTGCCTAGTCCTGCTTCAGAGAGTGTGCTGGACATGGAAGATAAATGGTGTATTGGACACTAGCCTATGCCACTTTTTTTAAATGGCTCACTTGCCCTACTGTACTATGCAACTCTTGCTGGCTGTAGAGAGCTTGTACTAAGGTTGGAGTACACAGAGTGCAATGACCAAGGTGTTCGTCTTGTGTTTTGAAATACTTAATGTGCAGGTACAACAAGATTAAGACTAAAAAAAATTTAAGAAAGTTCCTTGTGATCAAAATGTGCCGTGTCAGAATTCTACCCTTGTCTTGCAAAAATCCCATCCAAAATACCTATCTCTGTTCCTAATGAATGTGCACATTCTGTGCTTAACATGCAAGGGAAGAATGATGCTGAAGACTATATATTGAAGGAAGTACCTTTTTTAACTGCAGTGTCATTGCCTATTAAACCTTCAAAATAGGTACAAAACCCACATCTCTAAATACAAGAACTATTTTTTAACTGTTGTTGAACCATGATAAACTACCAAGAAACTTGTGAGTTTAAATTGCACTGGATTCATGCTTCTGTATTCCTGTGTGCCTAGATTCAAGAACTAGGCTCTTGATCTGGGAAGGAATAAGAGAAGCTCTTGCTGCCCTTGCTTTAAGCTGGTTTTGATATCAGTTCTGTAGCAAGCTGTTCATCTGGTCTATGCCTAGTAGTAATGTACAGAGATGATGGCTACTAATAGAACACAAAAGGTTTCCTGCCCTCTTACCTGCTTCCTGAAGTGGTTTTTTTCCTCTTCTTTTTACCTGAGTTTCTTTTTTGTTATTCCTTGCCATGTGCAAGAAAGAATGGCCTTGTTTTAATTATCAGAAAGTGAAAATTAGACAACCTGCTTTAGTACCTCCAGAAAAGAGAACCCCCCCAGCGTATCTTGAACTTTAAGACACTACTTCTAAAATCAATGCTTTTATCTTCCCTGGGAGGTGGGGGTTGGGAAAGAGGTATGAACTGCTTACTGTCGGTACAGTGTTGACCTGAAACCTTGCTGGCTACAAACATGTAGCCTTTTCTTGCACTCTACCTTCTCAGCAGCATGGACTCAGATAAAAGTATTGTCTAAAAGGAGTTCTAGGACCACCTTGCTACTCCACAGACCATGATTGTATTTCTCTACTTAATCACTAAAAACTTGCACTTCCTCTGAACAGTGGAAAGGAGTGTCATAGCTGTGGATCACTTAAACATGGGACTTTCTCCTCCAGCTCCCCCCCACTCCAAAAACTGTCCCACTGTCCTTCACTTTTTTGTGTGTACACATAGTGAAGTCACACCTTTTTTTTTTTTAAAGCTATCACTGTAGCATCTTACCTTCTAGGCCCCCATCTTGGCTTATTCAAGTGGCTTTGTTTTCCTTTTTCCTCCATTGCCCTTATACCTCTACCATCTGTGCAGCAAATAGCATTGACCATTCTTCCTCCAAGGAAAATCTTTACAGAATAATCTATAATGAAACCACCACTAACAGTACAATACAAAGTCACCCAAGCAAACTTCAGTTGCAAGCCACACAACCTCCCAACTTGTTAATAAAGCCTTTTTTTCTTCTTTTTGAGATCTTGATATTAAGACCATTTTAATACTAACAAGAACAACTTTAAAGGCCAACTTTTCTTAATTTTCACTCCGTGGCATGTTCATCTTTAAGGCTGACCTGAGGTAGAGATCAAGTTTATTTTGATTGCTAACAGCCAGATCCTCAAGTGGTAAAGCTAGGTGGAACTCAACAGCCATGTTGATCTCTACCTGCTGGGGCTCTAACTCCAAATGCACTGTTCCCCACAGCTCACCTAGGGGAAGGGGAGGCCTACCTCCATGTTATATACCAACCTGATGCTTTTTGACTGCCTTATAGCACTGATAATACAGAGCATAACTTTGCCACATACAATGGCCAAAGTAGCAAACACTTATTTTGGTGCATTACTACTCTGAAACATGTTTATCTTGTTTTTATAATTACCAAGCTCAGCATTGTGAGAGAGAAACAGATTTAACTCAAATATTTTCTATCTTTTTATAATAAAGATGTTTCAACAGGGTGTAGAATCAAAAGGGTCTGATCTTGAGATGCTTTGGGTATGCACATAGCCTGAACCCATTCTGACTGCTGCATGCATCCCTGCATTCTGTGCATTTCCTGTACAGCTTCAAAGGATGAGGTGGGATTGCATTCTTACAATTACAACTTGAGGTCCCAGTTGAGATGACAGCTATTCAGTGCCATATAAAACAGGAGTATGTGATTGGAACTGCTTACAACTTAACTGGACAATTCCTTGGAGAAAGGAGATTGGAAATGTATAAACAATCTCTTTTTAAAGATTGGAAATTTTAATTTTTGATTTAAATAAACTCTACATGCTACTTCAGCAAGTTAAGGCAGAGCAGGGAATCTTAAGTCATTGGACCAGAAACAGGAGTAACCTCTTCCAATCCAAGCTGTAGCCTGGAACCATTGCTTGCCTGCCTAGGATAATGTATGCAATGACTGAACAGTCTATACCTAAATTCCTGCAAAAAAGGCACTGAAGTGCTCCTACCACAGACTGCTTATTGCTTGATGGTTAGGACACTCAGAAGTGAGTTAAAAATCCCAGGAGGAACTGAGGCTGAAGCTTCCCAAACTGTAGGTGAGTGGTCTAATCTTTTTGAGCTCTTGGATAAAACATAGGCATCCCCTCCATCTGCAGAGGCTGATGCAATGGAGCGATCTGACAACAGTTACTAGTCACGCAGAGTAATGCCACCTTTTATCCATTCTGATAAAGCTTGAGGACCATACCTTGGGAAGGTTATACCTCAGTATGGTTAAAACCAATTACTTTTGAATTCTTCTATATGAAAAATGTGAGAGATAGTAACTTGTGTACACAGCTTAAGACATACTAGCTAGTGCTGTGCTGTCTGCTGCCCGTGAGACCCTCTTTGCCACAATACAGAATCCCTGAATTGATTCTTATATTATAATCTTTTTAAATGTTCACTTTTCTAGCTTCCCTTCTGAAACAAAACAAAGGACCCAACAGCTGTATGGAGTACTATAGGCATAAGCATGCTTGTTTCTAGTGCCCCCTGCCGTGATAGAACTAAAGCACTGAGTCATGGGAGGTTTTTTTTGCTTAGGACAAAACCAAATGGATCAATTCAAGATCACTTGCATCTCTGGTTCCTTCCTTCTTTTGAAGAGGGAGAGCTGGAATATAGCCAGTATTCTAGCCATCGTTAATCAAGGCTACTACTGGATAAGAGGTAAAAAAGGGTCCTGTTGATAATGCCATTGACAGGATTCAAATATCCCTGTAATTTGTTGTTCAAATAGATAAGGAGCATATTTCAGTGTCAGCTTTCATTTGAGAAAACATTGTGGCACTCATGGCTGTAAGGCTAATGGTGAAAAGACAAAGACTAAACTTGAGCAGTAGCTAGAGCCAACTTGAAACAAAAGTTGTTATGGAAAAAAAAAAAAAATGGGTGGCTCAGTTCTGGAACTTCATAAACATCCAATAAATGCACCTTTCCCAAACCCACTTTCACCATATTGGATAAAATCTATTGCATATTAAAAAAACAAACAAAAACAAAAACAAAAAAAACTTAAAACAGTTTGCAAGGCTGATCTAATAGTTCACTAAAAATCCCCGGGAGCAGATTCTGAACTCAAATTGACTATGAATGCAGACTGTCCCTGTGAAATGTAACTAAATAATTAAAACTTCAGTCCTGGTACCAAGATCCTGTTAAGAGTGTCAGTATCAACCACATTGCTGTTCTCCAACTGAGTTGTGCCTAAAACCTAGGCCTTTTTCTAGCAACTGATGCAGCATGAAATAAACTTGCTGCTCTTAAGCTTTGGAGAACCAGGTTGGCAAGGTAGAGAAAGCATGGCCTTCAAGGAGGGCTTTCTACCAGCAGTGGGCACACTCAATCATTGGGCAACTTGTAGAGAATTACTCAGTTCCCAACTCAGTGTGGAATACATATACAACAACTCACTGATCTGGCTTAAAACTCCAGGTCACACAGTTACAGGACAGGCAGATGAGTGGAGATTCCTATATACCACTTTAAATTGCTGCTAGCAGCAGCAGTTTAAGTTTGCCCCACTACCAAACTAAAGTTACCATCAGTTTAGGATAATTAAAAGAAACCCAAAAGCACTGACTAGCAATAGAACAACAGACTTCCAGTAGTTCTTTTTTTATATTCCTACATAGCTGTGTCTTTCCCCTTATGGTGGTTTTTCTAGTTTAGGCTAACTGCATCCTTTTGACAGTCTTAACTGTAGACTTTCCCTTAGTTTTCAATCTTTTTCCTATTGCAGTTTTAAGTTTATTTAATACAAGATATGGCCTTGTCCTAGTAACAGTCCTGAAGACATTTGTGTTTAGCCAGTTATTTATAGAGCATAAGCATTCCCTCTTTTCTAGTTTTTCTATCATGTCCTGAGTACGATACCATCAATTAAACATGTTAGCCGTTTTCTGCAATAGCATTGTCTTTATTTTCTTGGTCCTTCATTACATCTTTTCTGCTTCAGTAATATTACTGCCCAACTAGTATCTTCCTGGAACCACTAACATTGGGCTGCTGTTAAACATGAATTAATTCTGTGCATTTTGAAATGGACATTAGGCACTATCAGCATAGCCAAATTCCATCTTAAGATTTATTGGTACATTCCAACTTACTTCTAGCTTGAATTACAAAACTAAATCTTGTACCCATCCAACACTTCTATATGGCAATACTTGTAAACAGGCCACACATTTTGATTATTACTGACTGAAGTTATTTCTATATGCTGATATAGAAATAAAGAACCTTGAAATTTAACTTTTACTATTACTGGCTACCGTAGACAGCAGAAGGCCAGGGCTAAGGGGGCCTAGCATCCCCCTCAAACATGGCTCCACTCCTCTAGCACCACACGGCTGCAGCACTGTGCCTAAGCGTCCCCACACTCCCCCCACCAAATAATTTTCTCCTGCCACTGCTGCTGGCTATGCAAAAAGCTACTGCATTATATTTAAGATACAGAAATGATTCTTTGATATCTACAGGAAACTAGTTGTTGACTAGTCTGTTCAATTTCAAGCTAGACTTCAGATTTGCAGAAGCTGGCCAGCTTTATTATCCTGCAACATAACATGCTTACATGGGATTCAGCAGAATGTGGTTTGACACTAATCACCAGGGATCCTGGTTTAACCTGATAAAAGAAAAAAAAATCATCACAAATTCTCTGATTAATTTTAACCATGGCTTTTGGGACTTTTAAGGCTCCTCAGTCCCCCTCAGCCCTGCTCATGCCCTTCACAACAGCCCCCCAGCCCTGCTCGTGCCCCTCACTCCCCACTGCAGCCCCCCCAACACAACTTTTAAAAGGCTATAATTTGGTACCTGTCCTACAGTTGAGAAATGCTTCTCGAAAATAAACATTGCTTTTACTCATGGAGACAGTAAAGTTTTCAGTCAACTTTATTGATAAAATAAGTTTACTGTACAGTACACAATTCTAGCCATAAATTCATTTTGAGCATCTGCATTACAAAAATAATGGGCATGTGATGAAAAATAGTCACTCCACAAATGTGAGAGTTCTTTAAAACCCAAGAATGATTAGGTTTGTTTAGGGAAGGGAAGGGGAAAAATATCAAACATGTGAAGACAAACAGATAAGTTAAATCACATTTTCTATTTACAAAAACACTAAATCAAGCATTGTTTCATAATAGAGCAACCTGAAAAAAGTGCCACACACTTAAGACTTTTAATATGCAACCCTGGAAATTGGATTTAAAAAAAAAATAATAATAATAATAAAACAAAACTCCCTCTTCTGCATAAAATAAGTGACAGCAGATACTAGTCAACTGCATGATGAACAATTCTCATCCTCCAGGTTTCAAAGTAAAAAGCCCTTTTAGGGATAACAGCAACAAACTTGTTCATTTTATGTGATTTTGCTTTTGGTTTTTAGAATATTTTATCACTTTGCATCTGAGGTGCAAAACTGAATTCATGTATAGCATGCATGCGGCATTTGAGATTGTAGTAGTGGCCAAGCAGACTTTACGCTTGAGCTAGTACACTTGCATAAATTTTCCCTCGGAGAACTGTCGTAACAACCAGCTTTGAAGTCATCAGACAGACATCCTATAATGTCTAGTTTTTCCTACCTATATTACTAAACCCAGAAATGAGCAAGGATGCCACCTCACTAAACACTCTAAAATGAGAGCCAGTGGTCTTTCCTATTGTTATAGGGTTTTGGTTGGTCTTTTTTTAAATGTGAGAGAAACTCTTGCGGAAGTTTGGAGTTTCATACATGGTTATTGCAAATTAGCTATTAAAAGGCACTCTCTCCTATTAGTTGAACAGTCAGTGGAACAACTAGTTTACAAGTTTATTATATTCACCAATCGAGTTATCAAATTCTGACAGGAAAAAATAATAATAATGAAAAATAAATAAATCAACAGCTGTAATAACCATCTCTTTCCCCATCTTGCTCATTTTTAACCTTCAAAGTTATAGGAAGAGTTAACAGCACCAGTGTAATACATGTTGAATTATTTATAAATCAAGTTAGTAGGCATGGATAATTCAGGTCTGAAACATTTGTACTATGCTAAATATTTACCTACATGGGCTAGAAGGTCATTGCATTATTGAAAAAATGTTAAAAAAAAAATAGATTGCTTGACATTTAAAGGGTATTGCATTCGTTCAATTGAAATCCAATTTACTAAACTGAGCTTGAGTAGCAGTCTAGCTGAATTAAAAATACTTTTACTAAGTGAGGTCTGAGTAGTCAAAATATTCAAACTTAGATACGGTTTACACACACAGTCATTTTGGTGAAATCTCTTGTGAATGTGTTTATAGCCAGGGAAGCCATGCACAAGAAGTCTAAAAGGACATTTCTCTCTCTCTCTTTTTTTTTTTTAAACACTTCCCTATAAGAGTAAGACAAATGTTTGAAAAGGGCAAAAGCAAGGTAGGTAGTTAACTTCACATACAGGTGTCCCAACACCCATAGCTCTTCTCCCACACTGATGCTAACAATTAGCATCAGGAGGTACCACTTTAATCCTAACACACACAAAGCAAGCATCCCCTGTTGTTGATGCCATTTAGTGAAATTCTCAGTAAGAAGGACACTTTTCCCTAAAAATGGATTTGTACCTGGAAACTTTAGTTTTTAAAGTAACTTAGATAATCTCCCTCTTTTGTGAATACCAGAAATTTAAAAATGCAGATAATAGTAGTGTAGGAGGTCAATTTTCTCAACAGTAGTTTTTTCCCCACAAGCTACATGCCTGCCATCTTCAGCTTGTGTGTCTAAACTGCATCTTCCTGAATAACAATGGATAAATATCCAATCACAGAATGGAAAAGTGTGCTAGTTCTTTACAGTTTGGAAAGACTGAATCCTTTCCCCCCTACTCAAAAGGTGAATTACTAACACAGAATAAGGTGCTGTGCTCTCAATGTTACTAAAAAAAGTTTAAAATTGCATCTAGTTACTGCAAAAAGTTTATTTGAATAGAATTCCTTAGATACTGCATGGGTATCCAAAAAGAACTGCTCTTATGAAAGCAGAACATACTGCAGCTACAAGCAAAATTATAAATTTAAAATCTCAAAGTACAAGTAGGCATGCTACTGATATTTTTTTGTTCCCAGTGGTACTAACCTGTATCATTTTAGGTTAAATATTTTCTAACTCATAAAAGGTGCAAGGGATTAGATTTTTAATACGGATTTCTCAGCTGCCAAAAGAAGCACTTCCACTGGTTTCACCTGGGGTTTAGATTGTGTCCTTTCCATTATCAATCTATTGTGAAAGGCAGATCTGAAAATATTTACTTCACTAAAAATACTGAGAACAACTCAAAAGGGCTACTAGTTATTTTAGTAACTCTTAGTCAAGACTCATGAAATCTTACCTTATTTAGACAGATACATCTTTTCATAAGCAGTAAATTTAAATTAAATATGAATTTAGAGCTTGTCCTCCAAGTACTTATTGCAAAGTAATTTCAAATCTCAGTAACTGCATTAGCCAATTTCTCATCAGAATTAGGTTCATGAAAAACTACTCTGGTGCTACTGATTTAAGATACCAGTACTTCACACAGTATAAAAAAAACCAAACAAATAGAAATTGGTGCCCTATTCAGTAACAAGTGCTTGACAAGTGACCCCTGATTTGTAAAGTGTGCAATTAAAGCTTTTTTGACTTGACAGCATCTTCAGCTCTTCCTTAGGCTCAGATCACTACTCGTTACTAATGCTGACAAAGATGTACTTTCAGATGCATCGTCTTTGTTCATATTCAGAAAGGACTCTCTGGTTATCTGAAGGATCTCTCTCAAGCCTTTATTTTCATGCTACAATGAGAGAGAGAGAGAGAGAGAGAGAGAGAGAGAGAGAGACTTAATTCCTGTAAAATACTGGGACCACCTCCAACCCCCCCCAAACCAGAAAAAACAATGTATTTGTTGTTAATAACACTTTTGAGATGCAAGTAGTGGATTTTAAAAGCTCCTATTCAAATGTCACATGAACTAGGACTAATTTTTTTGCTGTATGGAATAGGTCTACCTTAAGTATCAGGAAAGAGTACAATACACCAAGGTGGATAAGAAAAGGATATCTAACTTAAAAAACAAAAAAGCTAAATAAAAGTGACAAGACTTGGATTTTTTCTCCCCACTCGATATGAACAGTTTTAAAACCACTTCTTGCAACAAAGGATTTTGCTAGTACTTAATCAAAAAGCAGCATTACCAGTCCCACACATTCAAAACTCATGATTTTTAAATCTGAAGACCTGCATTTTTGTTTGTGTGTATCCTATGGCGCCAAGAAATCAGGTACTGCTTCTAAGCTTTTCTCCAAAGTCTTGAAGACTAGAAATGACTTTTTTCTTCTGCAAAATGAAAGCCAAGATTCTCATCTTTACTATTTTCCAGGAGCTACAGCTTCAGGTAAAACATGAGACACTGAAAAACTCATTGCAAGATAAAAATCAGAAGGCACTACTGGGAAGGCATAACTAACTAGTCTTTCTTGTCCAAGTAAGTATACCAAAAGAGCAACATGAAGGGAGAACTAGATTGGGATTTGGAAGGCAATTGTGCCAATAGAAGTACTTTTATAGAACAGAAGTTTATACTGAAAACTGAAAGAATCCTTTCCCATGCAAAATTAGACGTGGCAATGGGAAGTTATAGGAGCCAAGTTATTGACTTTGCAAAAGGATTTTATAACATGTACTAATGGATGTTAAAATATGAATTCAATGATAGATAGTTCCTTAGCTTTAAGCTAGATAGTATAGGACATTGTAAAAACTGATGGAAAAAATAAAATGGCTTTGTTAAAGCTTTGTATGGTCTGGACATTAAAGGAGAGATTAGGACTCAAAGCAGACAACTGGAGCAGTTGAAAGAAGATTTGGGGGAAGAAGGCCTGAACTAAAGACTGGAGAGGGTCCAAAGGAGGGCCACTCATATGGTTAGGGACTTACAGGACAAGCCCGACGAGGAGAGACTGAGGGACCTGGACCTCTTCAGCCTCCGCAAGAGAAGGCTGAGAGGTGATCTTGTGGCCGCCTACAAATTCATTAGGGGGATGGAGCAAGGGATCGGAGATGCTCTATTCACCAGGATGCCTCTTGGAGTAACAAGGAACAATGGTCACAAACTGACAGAGAGCAGATTTAGGCTAGATATCAGGAAAAACTTCTTCACAGTAAGGGTGGCCAAAATTTGGATTGGGCTTCCAAGGTGGGGGAGGGGCGGGGGGTGCTCCCCCCTACCTTGGGGATCTTTAAGATAAGGCTGGATAGGCATCTGATTGGGGTCATCTGACCCCAGCACTCTTTCCTGCCAAGGCAGGGGGTCGAACTCGATGATCTGTTGAGGTCCCTTCTGACCCTAGTATCTATGAATAAAAAATCCTGGGGCTGTCCCAGCGATCTACTAATGCTATTTTAGAGCAACACGCAGGCAAGGACACAAGCTCTCTTTTTTAAAAATGGTGTATTTTGATAAAAAGCTAGACACGGACATAGCTGAGAGTGATCCTCACTGCCCAGCTAAGCACAGTCTTTGTTGTGTATAGTCTCATATTTATATATTTACACACAAACACAAGGAGTTTTACATCTCAGCCCCTAGTATTGCAAATAAACAACCAAAATAATTTCAGGAAAAGTTTCTGGAATGTTTGAAAGAGTGTGTGAAATTAGATATAAATAAATGTATATATCATTTTACATGCACACACACTTTCAAACATTCCAGACACTTTGCCCAAAATTATTTTTGTTGTTTATCTGCAATAATAGGAGCTAAAGTGCAAGACAGAGTCAATAAAGTACAGGTATACAGGCAGTCCTCGACTTACGTTTCGAGTTACAACGTTTTGCAGTTACAACGTTTCTAAATTGATGCCCTGTTTCAACTTTATGATGTCAGTTTCGGCTTTACAATGCTTGATCCAATGCTATGCCATGCCACGCCAGCGAACAATTTCGCTGCATCGCTCATCTCCCTGGAGAACATCTGTCCAAACTTCCTTAGACACCTTCTTTAACAAAGCAGAGAAGACTCCAGAAAAACTTGCAGCCAAGACTCCTGAGAAGACTCCAGCCAAAAACCCTTCAAAAACCAAGAGCCTTTCAGAAAGTCCAGCAGTCATCTCAAAGAAGTCCTTCCAAATCAATTATTGCTATTTACAATATAAATACATTAATGTAGCTATATTACTCATCTATAATTTGATCAAATACAAAATTCTGGGGTATTTTTGGTGAAAATAGGGTATTGGGCCTTGGTTCAGGAACCAATCCCCCTTTTATAACATTGTTTCTTATGAGAAAATTGTTCCAAGTTACAATGTTTCAACTAAAGACACGGTTTTCAGGAACCAATTGTGTCACAAGTCCAAGGACTGCCTGTATTTCATTCCAGTGGGATGCAAGTTACAACAGCTAGTCAAAGACAGCCTTATACTAGAACAAACCATTGAACAAGGCAGCATGACTGCATTTCAGAACATTTGTGTCTAGGCATGTCACACAACTCTTTCCTAAAAATGCTACACAAAGACTAACTTCCTTTGGAAGTATAAGCTATAACAGATTTACCCTCAACATATGGCAGTTTGGAAAAAAAGTCACAACTTGCTGTCAAAGCTTCTCTCATTACATACTTACTTCAAGCTGAACAATACGTTCCTGCTCTTTACAAGCCTGCTGTTCATCAATTTCAATGGCTTTTCTCATTACTGCTGCCATTTCTGTAATTTGGTCCACATGCACTTGTAGCTCCTAAGACCATAAAAATTTTTTTAAAAGTTTTAATACTGCCTCCTGCATTAGCAAAACTATAAACTGAATAGTAACAGAATAGGGTGTTGGTAACTTATTCAGCTCAGCAAAAGTTTGAGTTTGAGAAAGGCTATTTAAACAGTCACTGGGAAAGAGATGCAATCTGAACAGCCTCAGCATGGACTGGAACCTAGACTTCCTTTGTCTGGCAAGTACCTCAGCTATGAGGCTGCAGAGCCATACTCCCTCTTGGGAAGGTACTTTCCAGCTCTGGCCCAGTGAGTCTTCCCATAGGACCACTTTGCAGATAGAAATTCAATGGGCAGGGGAGGGAAGGAGTGGGAAGAATGTTTTAAGGGTGAAGACAGCTTGGTGGTTAGGAAGCTGCCCCAGGAATCTGGGAGATATAGGTTTAACCACCTCAACTAAAAGGAGCTTTACTGAATCTAGTCGCAGTCCTTGGTGAGGACTGTAATGAGCAAATAAGAACTGTATCTAGAGACATCCAAGTCATGAAAAAGGGCAAAAATTCAGGAAGATGCTCCTGCTTTCTGCATTACCTATTAGCAAGCATAGGCAACTCTACTCTGAAACCCTGCACTGTTGTTGTGCTCTCTCCCATGGCATCTTAAGTCCATGGATCTAGCCCCAAATATCTGCAAAATTTTTTCTTTGCTTTTCTTTGCTAGTTTTATTAAATTAAGTTTTCTAACAATTTTAACCCTTTAAAGTCCCTGCTAGCAGCAAAATGAGTTAAATTTCAGTTTGCAGCAAGTTTGTTAGCACATTTATTTAAAAGACCATTACTAAACACTAAACATTTTGGTGAAATCAATATAAATTGTTGAATTTTGAATGCAAAATTGTTTTTCCCAAACATTTTCTGCAATCCATTAACTAGATCTCAGTAAACAAGTGCTCAGGCTGATTGATGGGTGCCTCCTGGGAAAATGTTGTTCACTGGTAACAACAAGATTAATTCCTTGGGCACCAAGTGTGAAGCAATTTTTACTGCACTAAAAAATTACTTTGTTTTTCTGTATGTAAAGATTAGTGGAAAGTGCAGAATGAAATTCCAGGCAACTTAAATTAGAAATATTATAACCCCCCAGCACAAATCCTCCATGGGAAATGGAGCTGAACCCAAAGTATCGCATGAAACCAAAAGGAGTACTTGCCCTAACAGTACACTCTTGGGACAATTCAGAAGTAGAGACAGTTTGTTAGATACATCTAGAATCATTCCTCTGAATTAGACCTGTATACCAACACTTTCCTTCAAAAGAAATTGTACACTCTAGTGAATTTTAGATTAGTGCCTAATATCTACCTTTTAAAAACCTTTAAACCCACTTTTTGTGAAGTGATACAATACTAATATTCACATTTTAAATTTCTGATTGAACTATTCAGATATGTTCCATCTGAAGTTTGTCCCACAGAGGCTGCTACTTAAGGTTTCCAGTTAATCCTTGGGGTAAAAAAAACCCCAAACAACAAAACAAAACTGCAAATGTCAACAAAGAGGACTCACACCATTTTATTTGTCAGCGAAACCAATTTGAAAAGGCTGGTTATTCTATTTACTTGTATGATCCAATCCACTATTTTTTCTGATCCAATATTTCTTGAGAACAAGTATTTACAAATTATTTAGGGAATAAAGACTGCACATTTAAGTCCCAATCCTGTAAGCTCTTATATACAAAATAATGTATATGCAAGAAGTTAGTTTCATTGATTTCAAGAAAATATTATGCATTTGAAGTTAAATGAACAGGTAAGCAGTCAGAGAAGCAGGGTCTTGTGATTGGAAATCATTTTCCCAATATGCCAATTTCAACTCACTTAATAGGTATGTTATTATTTAAAAGACACAGTCAAAGATTACACAAATAAGTGTTTTGTTCTATTTTATAATGGTTACAAAATATTTAGGAAACCAGTCTAAGTTTCTAAAAGTGCTTTACTATGTTAAACACAAGTCATAAGCTAAAATTTAACATTCTACAGCAGTGATGCTCAATGTTTTGGCCCCACAGGGCAGACGAATGGTGCAGGGTCAGTCCATGGGCTGAATAAGATCCTGTGCGCCAAGATTGGGCCTGCATGGCCTCCGCTGTCTCAGGTGCACCAGGACTGGGCCCTACGGACCCCATGCTGTCCCTGTGCGCTGGGCTGGACTGTACACTGACTTGGCGCACCTGATCTAGCTCTATGGCCCCAGATGCATGGGGAGCCCTGCAGGCTGGACTTTGGCACCAGGAGCTTTGTCTGGCCAGGCATTGAAAACTCCCTGTTCTACAGTATCTTCCACTTATTATGAAGTGATTTATTTGTTCAACCACAGTCATTTTCAAAGACTACAACGTGATATTTTCTATAGCTTCCAATTAATCTTTTAAAACAGTTATATCACCTTCTGCTAGTACATATTAAAAGGCTGAACCATACTTTTCTTTAAAAAAATGCCAAAGTAGACCAACATAACCAAGGCCAACAAATCCTCATATAAACCTTACTGAGAGCAGTTGCTGTTGTTGTTAATTTTAATAACTCTCTCCCCTTTACATTTTCTAGGGGCATCAAGCAGCTCACAAAGATATTGGCAACTTTAGTTCCACCCAAAATCCAAAAAAGCAACAATTACTCCACAACACTTCTGATTAGTGCCAAGGAGGTGTTTTGGGGAGAATGGTAAGTCTGGTTATTCAATATTCAGAAGTTTGTTTTTCTTTTAATATTTAAGAACTAAGATTTTATCTCTTTGGAATAAAATCACTGAATACTGAACTAAATGACGCTTACCTTTCCTCTTCTAAAAAGGCAGGTTTGCCAGCCCAGCACTGACTACAAAAGCTATGAGTGTCATTAGTCCACATAGAGCTGGCTGTAAATTAATACCTGACTTTCAGTTTTCAACCTCCAATATGGTACAGCAGTTTTCATTTCTGGTCTGGCCAAAAAAGCAAATTAAAAGACTGTGGTAATAATATGCTCTTTGATGACTACTTAAATACATATCCCCAGCATCTAGTGGACAAAAAATCTGTTTGAACTACATTTTAGTACAGTGCAATGTAAAACTTGAGAACTGTTAATAAACATTCTAACATAAAAGGAAATAGAAAATGAAGGCATTTTATTAATGTTATAATTTTATATTTTTTATTAGGACACATTACCTTGGAATGTTGCTCTTTTAACTTCATGATTACACTTGGGTCATCCTTTTTGCTGGCCATGAGCAACCTAAACATCTGCTCTCTATACTTGCTCATTATAAGTTCTAAAGCAGACTGATGCTCTTCAAGAGATGTACGTAGTTCTGCCAAAATAATTTAAAAAGTTGATTCAGATTTGAATAGGAGTCGACTAAAGATATACAAAGAACCCTTCAATTTGAGGAACCTGAAACAAACACTTAGTCAATGTGCCACCTCTCCTCCCTCTGTAACAGCAGTGCTCAATCTTCTGGCCCTGCAGGCCAGCTAAATGGTGTGGCACCAGCTCTGCACCCAGGATAAGGCCCACACTAGGCCCAGCAAGTATTCGCTTTGGATTCGGCTGATTCGGAGGAGAGCAGTTCAATTTGGAGATTAGAATCACTGTCGTTATTCAATTCCGCCGAATCAGATCCGAAAGATTTGGTACTGCTTTGGAGATTCGGCCGTAGGCTAAACAGGCAGATGACATAGTTGCCTCCAGCTGGTAAGTTTGTTGGGGTGGTAGGGAAGAAAGGGGCATGGGGGAGGGCAGAC